TAAAACGCCGAAGCTCGCTCCGAAATCCCTCCAAACTCAGCGCCGTACCCCGCTGGCCAGGACACCACCGGACCAATAACTAGGCAGTGCTGTTGCCGGCAACCCTAGAAAGAAGAAGGACAGAATAGGTGTATTGTTCCTAGAATGTTAACATTTTAAAGTTAAATCATGTTTTAATAAATGCAATGGTAATGTCACGTAAACATATGTTTATTAAGCACCTCTTGAAAAATAGTGAGTTTGTAATATATGTTTTCGTAGATGATGCTTATTAACCCTAAAGTAAATATGCCTTACGGATGTTTTTAATTGAATTAGAATTCTCTGATATGATCGACTTAAGTTTGATCGAATCTAATTTGGTCTGAACTAGTCTTAGACTGTAGGGAGGCGTTTACTTCGCTGCTAAAATCACAGTTAGGTTAGTAAGACAGGTGAAGTAAACACGCAAGTTGCTTAAAACGTTGCTTACTAACCGAAAGAGATGCTTAAAGTGCCGCTTACTAAGCATACCAGCCCCCCATGTATTAATTAAGCGGCACTTTAAGCTTTTTCAGTTTCCAAATTTACCCTTGCCTTTACCCCTTGCCCTTACCTTATTGCTACCCAACTACCCCGCCCTACCCCACCTTACCTCGACCCCACCCTGACCCCCACTCCACCCCCTTGACTCAACCATACACCACCCCCACCTGCCCTACCCAACCCCCTCACCCCTTACCCTACCCCTGTACCCCCTACCACCTTCCCCTACCTTGACCCGACTCCACCCCTACCCCCGCCCCTACCCCTTTACCCCCTACGCCTACCCCCACCCTTGACCCGACCAATACCCCGCCCTACCCTACCTTACACCGACCCCACCCTGACCCCCAACCCCACCCCCTCACCCCTTACCCTACCCCTGTACCCCCTACCACCTTCCCCTACCTTGACCCGACTCCACCCCTACCCCCGCCCCTACCCCTTTTACCCCCTACGCCTACCCCCACCCTTGACCCGACCAATACCCTGCCCTACCCTACCTTACATCGACCCCACCCTGACCCCTTCCCCACCTCACCCTTGACCCGACCATACCCCACCCCACCTTACCCCAACCCCTCCACTACCTACCCTACCCCACCCCACCCTTTACCCCTACCCTTGTACCCCCTACCACCTTCCCCTACCTTGACCCGACCCCGACCCCACCCCTACCCCCGCCTCCTTTCCCTACCCTGACCCTACCCCTACCTCGACCCACCCCTACCCCCACCCCCACCCTTGGCCCGAGGGGTGGGGGTACAGGGCGGGGTAGGGTGAGGGGTGGGGGTACAGGGCGGGGTAGGGGTTAGGGGTGTGGGTAAGCGACTAAGCGTACGAGGTGACCCCATATATTATATTATATACTTGTGTTAATGAATGTTTGTGTGTATATATCTATAGGGTTATTTTGGACATTTTAATGTTAAACGGTGTTTTAAATCCTTTGAAGTAAACATGAGCTTACAACACTGCTTAGTTTATGCGCCGCTTATTAACGCGAGTCTTAATAAGCACCGTTTACTAACTCGTGAAGTAAACGTGTCCTAGATGTCTGATTGTACTGTTTATTGCTTTATCATGTTGCGTTTTAAGCCCTTTTATCTCTTTAGATCATAAAATTTCTAAAACTCGTATAGATGCTTGAGTTCATTTACAAAATGCTAAGGGATGAGTGCTATTTACACTGAAATTTGTAAATAAAAACTTTATTTACTTTGAATAGGTTATATTTACTCCAAAGAGGTTAAATGTTTGATTTGATCATATCTTGATAAGTTGATTAAGTTTTATTCCATTAGAACATTATTTATCTCGTTGAAAAATCATCTCATCAATTTGATGCTCATATGTAGGTAGTACATCAAAATAATAATAAGTTTTTAAATAATTGTGCTATTTTACAACGAGAATCTTTAAACGGGACACAAGTAGTACATCAAAACAATAAACATCATCAGCACCTATGGTGGGGTAAGAGGGGTCGAATGTATGCAGCGTTACTGTTATACTAAAGCACAAACAGATTATTTCCATATTACTCATAGTGAAAATAGCATCGAAAATTACATAGATTGACTGATGTTTCATAACAAAGAAGCGCAGACAGTTTAGTGAGTTATTTTGCTTTATTCCATCATATTCCAAGCCAAAAAATTGTGAGTCTTTGCCTCCATTGCATATGATGGAAAATATCAAAATAATAAACATGATTATAAATGATTTTAAACTCTAGCCCCTCAACTTCATTTTTCTTTATTTCTTCTTCCACCGTGACAAAAAATCTTTCATAGTGTCAATTTAATTTAATTTAATTTGGACTATTCCTTCCATTTTCATCTGCATCTGCATTCACTTAAAGATGACGACGGCTATGGTGCGGCATCTCCGGTGAGGTCGAATCTGGGCGGTGGCTGATTAAATCAATGCAATCTGACAATTAATTGTTTTTATGAATTTTCTTTTTCGCGCAACTCATCTTTCTCTCCCACTATCAGTCTGTCACCGTGCTTCGGTTGCTATGAGCCTACGCTGCCATGATTCTCGTCGCCATGATTCTCGTCGCCAAATTCTCCTTTTCTTCTGCTTCTTAGTCGCAACCCTATTGGTGCCCTCACATTCCGGTGACGGTGGTCATTGCCGCCAAATTTCAGATCTAATCTCGGCTAAGGTTTCTGGTTAGGGATGGCCATGAGCGGTGGTGGGGGTAGTGGCTGGCCGGTGGAAGGGGGTGCGGTCGGGAATTGGCCGGGGTGATGAGTGCCATAGTGGCAAAGGTAGTGACCGAGGTTGTGCGGGGCATGGTGGGGAGGAGGGCGACGATGGTCATCGCCGGACAACATTGGTAACCACCGGACGGACGACGGTGGCCACCGGCTATGCGACGGTGGTCACTATTTTTTTTGTCAATGTGGTTTGACAGTGGTGTCATTGCCCGGCGGGACAGTAGTCACTTAGGCAAGTGTGTCGGGTTTGTGCGTCATTGGGAAAAATTGGTCACTATAGGCGGTCACTCGGTGATGTGGTAGTGACTATGTGTCGGGTGAGGTCACTCTGATTGAAGATACTCATTGTTAGTGACCACCTTGACGGAGGTTACTATGATCGGCGATGACGTTGGTCACTAGAAAGACGATGTAACTGTCACTTGAAATTGGTCACTGTGGCGTCGTAGTAATTGAGACGGTGGTCAATGGAGCGGTAGTAACTGGGACGACGGACATTGGAGCGGTAGCCAGTAGTAATTGGAACAGTGGTCACTGGAGCAGTAGACAAGGATGATGGTCACTTGAGGGATAGTAACTGAGTCAGTGGTCACTTGAACGATAGTAACTGAGATGGTGGTCACCGGAATGGTAGTAACTGGAACGATGGTCACTGGAGCGGTAGTAACTATGATGATGGTCACTGGAGCAGTAGTAACTGGGATGATAGTCACTGGAGCGATAGTAACTAAGACGGTGATCACTGGAGCGAAAGTAACTAGAACAAGGTGGTCACTTGAGCGTTAGGTCATCGAGGAAAAATAATTCTCAAATCGACGATGATGATAGCTACGAGCCTACGACAGTGGTCTCTAGAACAGTAGTAACTGAGATATTAGTCACCGGAGGAATAGTAACTGGAACAATTGTTCAAACAATTTTTTTTGTAATAATTTGTTTAAATATTTATCTTGAGAAATAACATTAAATTAAAAAAATATTAATTTTTAGAAAATTCAACGTCCTTGCAAAAAAGAGAGATTGCAATGTTATTAAGCAATCAAATTGCTACGCACTTGCAATCTGACGACTTGCACTTTGACGGGAGTAATCAACTTTACTGGATGTAGCTTATCAAATTAGGAAGGGTACTTTAGACATCTAAAGAATTATTAGTCATATTTTTGGAAACTAAAAAGAAAGGTCATTTTTTTGTCCATTAACTCTCAGTGATCTACTATCAGTGACCAATCGTCGCCCAACAGTGACCGCCGTCTCCCGACTCCCCATCCAAAGACAGTCACCCACATTGCCTCACTAGCCCCCCATATCCCTTCCTCCCCAGCCTCCAAACCCCTTCCCTGGCCTTGTGCAATCACTTCCCCACCCCCACAACCCGCCTCTGCCATCGCCCCATCCCAAAAAGAATCTTCAAATCCCACCCCTGCCCACTGAAAATAGGGTAATCGCCACTCGCAAAATGTTTGTAGCCATCCCCGGTGATGCGCGAAGATAGCAAGATGTGCTCGGTGACTCGTGCTTGGTGAGTCATGCCCGGCGGCAACAGATCTGGTGCTCCTACATCGACTATTCGGCTGTAAAGATTGAAGCAGGGAGTTGGGAATATGGGATGCGTATAACGAGGGCAGGGAGCGTAGGGTTTGTTTTGTTAAGGTGTATTTTAATTATTTATTACAGGGTATTAATTAATCACTTTTTTGTCCTATTTTAAGTGTGGTCATATATTTGTCTATTAAAACTCTAGAAGTAATATCTCAGTCATGATTCCATAAAGAAACATGGATCATGATTGACTTAAGTCTACCCTGACTCTAAATTTCTTCGATTGTTTCTCAAGTTGTTGCATTTTTTCATGTTCACATGATTTGAATGAGTCATTTTGCCATAACAAAATAAGAACAATTTATTTCATATAGTACCTAAATATCATCCTCACAAATTATACATATACTTCCTCTGGCTCTATCGTGCAGGTTTCTTGTAAATTTCTTTCTGCCTTTAAAATGTCCTGTAACTCTCTATTGCCTATTTGCCTTTATAAAATATATCACTTCTCTTTTCTGACATTTTTATATTGATAAAGTACTCATTCATCAATATCTGAATAGTGCAAGTTATTTGGAATTATGCGCTTAAAACCCGTTAATCCAAATTAAAAATTTAATTTTGGAAAGGAGAAAGTAAATTATTTAATTCTCATTTATATGATAATATTAGTTATTATTTATTATAGCACACAACTCCCAACATGAGAGATAATAAGATAATATGTTCCATTATTAAAAAAGAGCAAGAGATATGCCACTATTTCGTACATAAGCTTAGCTATATCCTCAAACACATTGCAACATTTTACAGTCACGAGCTAACCTTTTCCTTTTACCTTCTCTGTCTGTACACACTCCAAACATGAACAGTGAACTTTATATATTCTCTCCGCACAATGGCATCACATTAGTTGAATGTTTTTGCCATTTGGATATATAACAATAGTATACTCGAGTCTAACAAATGTACATGTTTGTAAGTACAACCAGTAGAAGAAGCCTTTTATTTCTGTCGCGCCTTCACAGATATATGGCTACAAACTGCATACCGTGAAAGAAGAAGAGAGTGACACTAGCCTCAGTTAGCTGTACAGTTTCCTTTTCTATCCCATCTATGCAGAATATGAAGATAGAATCCCGATCCTCCTTTCTGCAATAGATTGAAAATATGGGGGGAGTGATTGCATACTAGAGAAGTCACCAGTTTATGGAGTAATCTTGTAATTGTAATAATATATACAAAGATGACATTGAGAGAGCTATGGACCTAGACCATGAGAGAAAAGAGAACATAAAAGGGGAAAGATTATTCAATGCTCGATTGGTAATGCTTGAATCGGTTCTAGACTTATAGTGCCTAAATTTGTTGAATTGTGCAACAATTTCATCTCAAATACTTTTATTAATAAAAATAAAGAAACATTTATATCTAAAAAAGAAATCAAACTTTTCCTCTTCAGCAAAATCCCTCCAAAAAACTACTTTCAACCTTCCTTATTTTAATTAGTACACTATTTCTTGCGCAACTTCGCCATGAGAACATTTCTGGTAATGACTGACCCAGACTACAATAAAAGAGGAGTGTTATGTGATAAGCGCAAGACAACCAACAATATCACTTAGTCACATTAATGATGTGAATCGAAATATGAATATATTACTGCAGTTACGTCGACGCCCGCAAGCGATGCGTTATCTTTTCGCATGAGGGTGGTACTAAATATGCAAGGGCACGCTATCATGAGCTAGATTTGGTGATGAGTATTGAGGTTGTTAGGTCATCACCTAGAAGCAGAGCATCACCCAGGGATGGGGTCAAATATGCGAAGGCATGGTGAAGGTCGAGGTGGTGTTAAGAACAAAAGATAAAGTTCTAGATTAATATCGGACGTTTAAGTTGTGACATTCAGGAAGAGAAAAGACCAAAAATGGAATAGACATAATTGTGGCGTGTGACTATGTTAAAGAAGTGGTGGAAGTGTCTAGGAAGAACAACCACATTATGAGCCTTAAGTTATTGAATGCATAAGATCATGTCTGTGATAAGTGCTTATGCACCACAAGTGAGATTGAAAGCATTTATCACTCGATAATTCTGAAATATTATTGAAGAAGTGGTGGAAGAGGCGACTTCAACGGACATGTAGACTCAAGTCGTGATGATTTTGAAAGCATACATGACAACATAATTTTGACATTAGAAATGAAACAGGAAAGAACATTTGAATTTTGCCTCAACGTATGAGTTAGTTAAAACTTGATTCAAGAAAAGATACCCTAATTATAAAGTTATCCCTGGTGAGAATGTTGTTACATAGTATAAGAAATATAGAAGGCGGGTTAAACAACAACTACAACCAAAGTCAAAGTTGTGGAGGCTCAAGGGTCCCTCCACTAAAGCTTTGCACACAAAATACTTGTTAAAGGTTTATGATATATTGATAATAACGTGCATGTGGAAGATGTGTGGTTAACAATAGAATAGACCATTAACAAAGTGACAAAAGAGATACTTGAAAAAACTAAAGCCTGTCAGCCATCAAAAGAAGGAAACATTTTAGTGGAATGATGCGGTGAAACAAGTCATAAAAAATAAAAAGGAATGCTACAAAAAGTTAGGAAAAAAATGGAGTAATGAAAACAAAGAGGGGTACAAGAAGGCTAAAAGAAAAACTAAGAAAGTCATGAAAGAAGTATGAGGAAAAGTGAGCAATGAATTTTATGTAAAATTTTGTTCTAAGTAAGGAGAGAAATATATTTAGACTTGCTCATTCCCGTGATCGTAGGACTCAAAATATCGAAAAATTTAAGTGCGTGATAATGCCGATTCAAGGGTATTAATGGATGACAGAGAAATAAAAAAGAGGTGAAGGTCATACTTTGATACCTTGTTCAACGAAAATAAAGATAGGACGAAAGAAATAGTGAGTCCAGGTGGCATACCGATCAAGGCGTGATTGATTTGGAGAGAAGACGTCAAGTAGTAGACATGTTTTCTTGAAAAAGATTGATAGAAGGCAGGAAGCGGAAACGGGCTTGGACCCACCTTCGTGGGCTGGTAATGGGTTGGGATTATAGTTTTATTTATTATTATAAAGTTTATGTTATGTTTTCTAGTTTGGGTCTATTATTAGTAGAGTATTTAGTAGAGTTGATTTAGTAGAGTTGATTTGAGCTTAATTAGGATTTACTTAATTTGGACTCGATTAGGGTTCTTGAGTCTGTTAATAGAAGGGTTTTTATACCCCTTGTCAGGATTCATTCTTGATCATCTATGAATAAAATTAAAGTTAAAATTTTTGGCCCTGTGTAACGATTTCTATCATTGATTAGTCTGGGCAATGGTATATTCCGTTGGTTTTTATTTTCTGTTTTCATTAATTGATCAGACTTGCCGGATCCTGTCTCGCCGGAATGACGAGATCTCACAGTGATCACTTGAGAGAGATGGAGGCCGAGCAAATCCGGATGGAGGCCGAGCAAACAGATGAACCAGACCTTAGAAGAATACAGCGTACAATTGGCCGAGATCGTGCATCATTGGCGGGCTTCACTAAGGCAACCGCCGATGATGGTGGACAGCTCGTCGGCCGCAGTCTCCAGCGCCGCTGTAGCGGCACATAGTGCGCAGCTCCACACTGACCTTGCTGCCTGCATTCAACGGAGAAAACCTCATCGAATGGATGGTCAGGGTTGATCAACAGTTTGATATCAATCAAACCCCACTTAGAAGCAGTTATGGTAGCCATGGAGGGGGCTGCTCTGTACTGGTTGACCTGGTTGAAGGCACGGAAACTGGGCATGACCTGGGAAGAATTCACACAAACACTAATCGCCCGATTCGATTCACGATTTAAAGACAGCCGATTCGAACGGCTGTCCGGGGTCAAACAATTGGGAACCATAGAGGAATATGATAACATTTTTGTTCAATTGGCCAATCAAGTTCCCGGACTATCCGATGATCATTACTTGGGGTATTTCATGAACGGGCAAAAGGGATCGATTCAGGGGATCGATTCAGGGGATCCTTACGGTTGCTGCAGTCAAACAGCTTGGAGATAGCAATGAAATTAGCCAAAGATAGTGAGGACAAAATGTTCTTTCAAGATGGAGGCAGGGAAAGTCAACCCTACAACACGGCGCACGTTTGGGCAATTTTTCGCGCCTGAGTTGTGGTAACAGCACAGTCGTAAGTGTGGCAGCTTAAGGGGATCGGGTGGCAGCTTTCCTAAAGACGGCAGCCCCGCGGAAAAATTCAGGGCTGTTCAGGCAGTCTACTGCACACTCTAGGTTCACTCAACTTTTGACGAAGGAGTTAGAAGAATTACGTGCAAAAGGATTATGGTTTAGGTGTGAGAAACCATTTACATCAGGGCATGACTGCCCCTTTAAACAGTTACGGGTAATGATAGCTAAGGAGGATGAGGAGTTGGACCTCCAACAACATGATTATTTCGAAATAACCGGCCAGGAAAAGGTTCACAAAGGCCAGGGGATCTTGAAGGAGATAGGGATACTTTCCAGTCTATTCTATGGCCAAAACTTTCAGCTCTCGAATTACGAGATTTCAAAGGAGGATGGATTGATAGAGAGCAGGGAGCGCAGGGGCAAAAACAGGCTAGGGCCCACCTCTGTGGGTTGTTTATGGGCAGGGATTATAGTTTTATTTATTATTAGGGAAAAAGTACAAATATGCCCCTGTAGTATGTGTGTGAGAACAAATATATCCTTGTTCTATTTTTTGGAACAAATATACCTCTGAAGTATATTTGGAAATGCACATATCCCCCTGAACTCTTTAAAAGGTGCAAAAATATCTCTCATGTTCTTATAAAGGAGTAAATATAACCTTATTGACTTTAAATTGATAAAAAAAATTAAAAAAAACAAAGATAAATTATACTACCTCCATCCCAATTTACTTAGCCATCATTGACTTTTCTACTCAATGATGATAATCTTTGGGTGATCATTTTAACATCTATATTTTAGTGAAAATTATAAATTTTATACTTTTATGATAGTATTTTTAACAAAGAATATTTTCATATCACTTTCATATTTTAAATATTTTCATATACGGTGTATAAAGATACTATTAGTCAAAGTCTAGCATCTTTGACTGGAAAAGTCAAAGATGGCTAACTAAATCGGGATGAAGGGAGTAAATTCAATAACATTAAAAAAAATTTAAAATGTACTTGTGTCCAATTCTCCATTTTATTGTTTGTATAAAATATTATTTCAAAATTTTACTATATATTTAAGTTTTTTTAAAAAAAGTTAACATATCTATTGCAATGTAAAAAATATTAATTTTTCGCATTCTTTACACTCTAAAATTACATTTTTTGTATGCCGATGAATAGTCCCAGATTACAAAATAGTGAATTTAATTTTATTAAGGTTAAACAGAATCAAAGAATGTTATTTCAAAAAATATAACAATGTGTTCAAAATTTCACAAGACTAATTTTACAGCGGAAGAATAATAATTTTACAATTTAAAATTAAAGAGTTACTACTCCCTTCATCCCGCTAAGATTGTCTCATTTTACCTTTTCGAGAAATCCCACTAAGATTATCTCATACCATATTTGGTAAAGTTTGTGTGGCTCCTAATCATTCTTACTTTATCAATTCAATATCAACCACATAAACCCACTTTTCTTAATAATCGTGCCACCTTCTTCCGTACCAATGTTAGTGGGACGAAGGTAGTAATATTTTAACATAATAATAAATCTTAATTTTTAAATATCTAATTTATAATTTATTTTTGGTGTTTTTTGAAATTTATTTTATCTATTTAAAGTAAATAAGGGTATTTTTGCTCCTTTTTAAGAATATGAGAGGTATTTTTGCACTTTAAAAGTTCAGAGGTATATATGCACTTCAACAGATATTTCAAGGGTATATTTGAGCCGAAAATAAAACAAGTGTATATTTGTTCTCACGCTCATACTACAAGGGTATATTTGTACCTTTTCCCTTTATTATTATAAAGTTTATGTTATGTTTTCTAGTTGGGCCTATTATTAATAGAGTATTTAGTAGAGTTGATCTGAGCCTAATTAGGGTTTACTTAATTTGGGCTCGATTAGGATTCTGTTGAGTCTGTTACTAGAAGAGTGTTTATACCCCTTGTTAGGATTCATTCTTGATCATCTATGAATAAAATTGAAGTTTAAACTTTTGACTCTGGGCAACGGTTTATATTGTTGATTATTCTGGGCAACAGTTTATTCCGTTGATTCTTATTTCCTGTTTTCATTAAAGATTTGGAGAAATATTAAAATGCCAAGGAGCTGGTGGTTAACTAATTTTATTTCCCTATTTAAGAATAAGGCTAATAGCGAATTACCTTGTGCGAAATAAAAATTCGTGTTTGCAAAAATTTGTTTGATAATACTCATAAGCCAAAAAATGGATTACCGAAACGGGCGCTCGGAATTAACGATGATTTATATACATGATTTTATAGTGTAACATTATTTATACACTTAATTGCACAAAAATCTAGATGGTTTCAAGTGGGGTGGGTTAAGTACCTCCAGTAGCAACAAGTTTCTCCACACGGGTAACAATATGCTTTCCGTAGGTATATTTCTTCAAGGCATTCAAGTGATCCTTTACTCTGTTGAGGATTAGTTCAAGTTGGTGGTCATCACAAGTCTCGAGCACTTTCTGTACAACGTAGTTTGCAAACTGGTCTTTCATCATAATCTGCATAAAGACCACATAACATTAGTACATAGTCCCTCTCATAACAAACAAGAGGAGATGAGTGTTCATTAACTAAAAGCACTTTGTTCACAAATAACTAGCCATTTAGCTATCCGACAATGTAATCTATAGTATAAAATGACTAAGTTACCGTATCATATTCAATACAATTTTGCTTGTTAGGGCATCCTCATTGATAGGATTATTACGAGATTAAATAAGTGACGTGGCAGATTTTTTAGAGAAGCATCATTGAGTAGCATAGATTGTTTAATGAGATTATTTGCTACAATAATCTGGGATCAAAATATGAATCCGGATTATTTTAAAATTATTAAAAAAGTATATGTAATAGAAGTTAATGCTGGACCAAAAAATCGGGTTATTTAAAGATGATGGTTGGGTGACATAAACGAATTTTGAGATTATTTAAAAATTAATTATATAACAATATTTAAAAGGTAAGAATCATAGAAAAAAATAATAATTAGAGATCATGAATGAGGATGCTCTTACTTTTAAAGTTTTAATACCTACAATTGATTAGTGGTGTGTGTGTCAATTTATAACCACTTTGATTATCGCCTTAAAAACCACATTTTTCTCTTTAATGAACAGTAATTTAAGACTAGAGTGAATATGAGTGAAGGATAACACTCTGGCTTATTTAATCTTTTTCTTCTTTTGAGCGAAATGGCATACTTAATCTGGGCTAGTGCCATTTTGGTTCAGTTAGTTAATCCAACACCAAGCACATTTATGCTGGTCACCTAATAATGCTATTGTGTACCAAAAAAAATCAGTTCATCACTTCATTGAAATTAGATGAAGAGTTGTACCAAATGAAGGGATGATGCCAGAAATCAACACACCTGAAGAGGTTCATTTTCATCCGGAGAACCAAGCATTTCATTTACCAAGGTCTGGCGCTCTTCAGGAGTGCCAAAAGTTAAGCACTTCTCCACAACATTGGAGGCAAATTTCTGCTGGCTCATCTGGACTATCTGTCCCTTTAGCTTATTAATTACAGATGAACGCTCCTCTGGTTTTCCATGCTCCAACACATGCTGTATTACCACAATACACATTCCATTAGAAGGCCCCAAATAAAGTATATACGATAGTATGTCTCTAGAAAGGGGTCTCTTTCCTTTTTCAATTTTCATTCATAAAGCCCATTACAGACAAGTAATATACAAGTAAGACAACACATCAAGATTCTTGAAAACAGCGCAAACCTGAACAACATAATTCCCATATTGATCTTGAGCCATCATGCTAACAGATTGCAAAACCTCATGCATTATAATGCTTTGTGTTTCAGGACTGTTGCAATGTTCCAGAACTCTCTGTTGTGAAAAGGTACACGGTTTAGATTTGAAGAACTTGTTCTCTCTTGCACCATAAGACCATCAATATGATAAACTAATAGCAGGCACATGCGGTAAAAATATTTTTATGACCTGGATGACCCTACACCCATATGGATGAGTGGACAATGTAATGACTTGGTCATAAAATGTAGTAACAACAAACTGAATGGCATCTTCAGGAACACATTCGATACACTTCTGGATAACATGATTCCCATTCTGATCACGCACACAGCGCATAATGTGGCCATCAAGCTCTGCAACCATTTTTTTCTTTTGGTCCAGATCAACAACCTCTATTGCCTGGATTATACAGAGGATAACATGTCAAGCTAAAACGTAAAGTAAAATTGGTTTTGGCAGGCTGTGATCATAGTTTATTAGTTCATAATGCATACATGTGATAGAGGTCAACGTAAACACGACAACACACAGAAAGATTTGTCATATAACATCTTCGATGCGTAGTAGTCAGTCCTCCTTACACTACCAATCATTCTTTTCCCAGGCCTGCGTAAAATTCACGTTTAAGTTTTGAAGTACTTTTTACCAATTCAGATTAGAAGAATGATACATTTATTCACCATGTCCCCTAGCAAGAGTGTGTTTGGAAAGATAATTTACAATAATGCAAGCTGCAAACAATGAAGCAAACTTTTCCCTCCATCCCTAAAAGAAGTTCCTAGTTTGACTCACACAGTTTTAATAAACCAATTAATCAAATGCTATATCATTCACTTCCAAGAATACCTGTGGTATGTGGTTAGGGTACTTAATGATGATAGGCGAGGGATATTAAATGAGGTCATGAGGGAAGTACATTATTTACTTTTTCCAAACAAAGAAAAATGACTCATTTAGGAGCGAACCTATAAAGGAAATAACAAGTTCTTTTGGGGACTGAGGGAGTACAAAATATACATAACATTAGGGAGTCGTGCACCACTACAGATCATTGATACAAATAATAAAGCAATAAGAATATTGAGATACAGGTATTATTGCAAATCAGCAAGTTAGCAGGAATTTAGATACCTTCTGGATAACCCTGCAGCCATACATTTGAAGGCTAAGGGTGAGAACATGTCCAGAGAGTTTGTCAGCCAGGTCTCTTATCTGACTAGCACTTCCATGTTCAAAAAACTAATAAGGATGGCCAAACAAAGCAAACGTGAGCAGGGTCTATGCTACATAAATGTCATATTTATTTTATCAAAAAATGAAGTGAATACACTTATATGACAAACATACACCTACCTTCTGGACCACATAATTACCAAACACGTCAGTCATTAAGTTTAGAGCATGGGGCAAAATTTCATGAAAGACCATGTTCTTTTCTTCAACAGTAGCAGTCTCAAGTTTTTGTTGAATGAATCGACTTCCATACTGATCCGCACTGCCAAAAGAATATGCTTAATGACTCAGATTTCAGATACCTTGAATAAGTGAAAGGAAGAAAGATTCCCGAACAGGAATAGGTACCTGAACTCGACAACATGGCCATCAATCTCCAATAACTCAAAACATTTAGCTTTATTATTCTTGAAGTCATCTAACAATGAGGCCCGCTGTCCCAAGAAAGACGCTGAATCAGAGAGCCAGTCCTCCATCACACCAGCACTTGCGTTCCTCATACCTGATGCAAAATGCACATTTCTTCCACCATACCTTACAGGACTACCAGGTCCAAAAGAAGAATTAGGTAGAATGCAGCCTGCCAAAGGACTTCCAGGGTATGGCATACTAATACCAGGTGTTGGGTTTGCATAGTAGCCACGGTTTGCATCACCAGTTTTGCTAAAGCCATACTGTAATTTTTGAGAAGCAAGCGATTCCAAGTGAGCCTTTTGAATTTCAGGAAAGCCCATGTATGAGTTGCCCAAAGATTCTCTGTTAAGTAATGGATTGTTAAGAGCTGTGAGGCTACTAGCATCAGAAAGCTCAGTTGATGTCAAGTATGGAAGATACCGTGAATCCATCAAGGGATCTTGCACAGAATTCCCCAAACTGGAATTCCTAAGTCTATAAAGATTCTGCATTTCTGCTGTTGCAGCTAATAAATTAGGTCCCAAAGTCAAGCCACCTCGTGTTGATCGTGAATCCATATCATCATATAAATAAGGCAAATGACCACTCTCAAACTGGTTTTCCAACATACATGGTGATAGAGGGTTTAATCCATAACTGCCCATACCATATCCGAAAGACATTGAATTTGGACTGCCAACAGTCGGATGCTGAGTTGGTGAGCTCCCCGCACTACTGAGAGTTGGTGTATAGGGGCCTATGAAGTGTGAATCAGTAGGTAGAATACCAGACTTACTCATCAGCGATTGCTGCTTGATATGGTTTGTTCCATTCTGCATGTGTAAGAAATTCTGTTGTTTGTGAATGTCATGATGGGTTAGAGACTTCAGATGGTTTTCTTCATCTAACATATTAGCAGACAAGTCCATGTCAGACAAGGCAGCAACTAGATCTGCAGGCTCAGCCATACCCTGTAAAGCATCAACATCTACAGATGACTTTATGACATTTAGATTATCAGATGAGCTTCTTGTCCCCAACCCAGTGGACAGTACTCGTGGGCTGGGAGCTCTAGCAATAAGTTGAAGATCTGGGGTAGTATTTCTGGAGAGTGAAGCACCTACAGGAGAAGCATAAGCACGAGAACAAGATGACCCAACACTTTGCATTGAACGAGTATCTGGAACACTTGATTGAGAATGCAATGTATCCAAAGATGAAGGTTCATGTTGGAGATCAATAAACAGAGGGTCAGAAGGCTCGATGAAATTATTGATTGTACGGCTGGCGGGATGATATGGATATCTTGCAGTAGATTTTCTGTAACTTATATCATCCTAGATTAGTTTAAAAAAATCAGAACAACAGAACAAAAATTTGTGGCAAGTTACAAGTAGAAACATCAAGAGTACTCTTCCAAAAAAACTGAACAATAACATAAATAGCACAACAAGCAGTTAGAGTCATCAAAGGAAGGAAATAGATACAGTAAGAGTACTCTTCCAAAAAAAAAACACAAACCAGCAATGCCTAATTGACTACTACTATCAGTAAGGAAATACTCCATATAAAGATCACAGTCCTAATTGCAATTTATAATCACATGAAGTACAAGAAACACGAGTAATCTAATTTGAACCTGCAAAACAATGTTCAGGACTTATTTCAGGTATAATGGGTGACTAATATGTAAACGATAACAGATCCCAAGCTCACAGCCATCTTGCAAAACCAAGACTTTATCATTTAAGATTACTTTTCATGTTTCTTCACCTGAATCATTTCAGCTATGCTCTTCTGCCGGCTTCCAGAACCCAATCCTGGTAATCCAATAAGTCTATTTGTCCCCCAATCGTTTGGGGATTCAACTCCATTCTCTACATTTTCCCCACTAAACTCCATCTGTGTAGAAATCAAAGACTTCTCTTTGGCTCCTTCACCACCCATACTAACCCTACGCCTGTCTCCGACCCCACCAAGTGACAGCGGACTCCCACCACCACCACCACAACAAGCATTACTACCTCCGGCGCCCTGAAGCCGCTGCGCGGATAGCCAGTCCTCCTTTGATAACAGAGGTGGAGGAAGCCGGGGATTTAGATTCACGTTCGAGTAGTAATAGGAAATGTAGGCAGGATCAGACCTCAGCTCCTCCTCAGAAACTCCACTGGAAGTACCACCTGCAGCGCCAAACAGACCACCAAACGCGCTCAACGATCCTTCGACCGTAGGCGGGGCTGACCCACTCCTACATATACTGAGTTCTCTCTCTCGATCATTCGCCTCGTCTAGCTGCCGCCTCTGCTCTCTCAGCAGCAGCTCTAGCTCTTCGCCATAATCGCCGCCTCTTGCGAGCCTTGATCGCATTCCAACTCCCGATATCATCTTCGAGTAGTGATCAGTAATCATTGGAAATACATATATATTTACACTGATAAACACAAGAAATGTAAATAAAAACAAGCAAAAAGGGTCTCTGAAATGGAAAGCTTTAGCTTTAGCAATCCTTTAAATTTATAAAAAGAGCTCGCGAAGCTGCTAAAAATTCCACCTTTCCCGCATAAATTACGATTTTGAGATACGACTTAGGGAAATTATTATTTCAAGATTCAAATTCCATTAATACGATCAGAGATATACATGAGAGCGTAAGCGGCGGTCGTCATTATTTGGAGCCATTTTGTTCTAAAGAGAGCGCGATGGTTTTGGAGAGGAAAAGTGAAGGTTTTGGGGAGAGGAGTGTGGAGAATTGTGGAAGTTGAGGTGGACTAGACCGATGGGCAAATTATATGCTAGATAAGGATCAGTTTGGTGATAAAAGGGTGAAATAAGTAGTTATAACGTCTTTACTGTCCTGCTGTCGCCATTTGGGGGCAGTTTACGGTGGAATTTTTTGGAGAAATTTTTTGAGCATCTTATTCATTAAGTCTAGTTTACTCATACCAATTTTCAGATAAAACTTAAATCGGGAAAGCATTCAAATGAAGTCTTAACTTATCTTCAAGACTTCATTTGAATGCCTTCCCGATTTAAGTTTTATCTGAAATTTGGTATGAGTAAACTAGACTTAATGAATAAGATGCTCAAAAAAATTTATAAAAAAAAATCCACTGGGAACCGCCCCAAATGAAGACTCTCGGACAGTAAGGACGTTATAAGGACTTACTTGACCCATTTTATGCAACTTCGAGGACCAAACTAATCGTTATCTCAATTATATCCTACACCCGGGTGTACGGTATTTTTGTAAATAAACCAACTTCAATCCTAGTCAGCATCCTCTTCCGGAGCAATTCTCGCTCGCCATTCTCTTCATTTTTTCTTTCCGCCGACTTCGTATATTTTTTCCTTCTCTGTCATCATCTTTTCTTACGCCGTCATCATCTTTTGTTTCTTTCCTTCATAGTCATCCTCGTTTCTTCCACAACCATCATCTTTTGTTTGTCTCCTTCCCTTCCATCATCTTTTCTTCTACAGCCATCCATTCTTATTGTTATCTTTTACTTTTGTCTTTTTATTATGTTTTTTTATTTCACTTTCTTTTGTTTTGTCTTTTTTGTACTTCTTTTCCTTTCTTTATTTGTTGTTTACTTCTTTTCGTATTTATATACATTATACCGAGCACATTAGAAATGAGTTTTACCTTAAACTCAAATGAGTAAAACGCGTAAAAAAATGAACATACATAAATGAGCTTTTGAATTTTTGAACACTCATTTTGTAAATTATGTATATTTATTTAGAATCTCTGTTATGCTTATTTTTAAAATGTTTTATCAATGCGCATTTCAAAAGTCTCATATTACATTATTAGTAGATTTATATAAGAATTGATTGTAGACACGAGACCACAAATCTTGATACTCAATTGCAGATTCTAATACTCAATAACGGAGGTTTGATGCTCACTGAAAATGTCTTGATGCTTAACGAATAAAACTTACAACTTTCATATCATTGTTCATCTTGTAAATTACATATGCTCATTTGTATATGTCTGGTGCTCATTAAAAATTCATTAATGCTCGTTTAATAGAATTCATGATTTTCTTCAATCTCAATAGGCGATGTTTGATATGTATGCTCATCTGAGACTGATCACATGCTCATTTTATAAATCTCATATCAATGCATTTTAAAAGTACTACGGAGTATTTTATATTAGACTCCTAATACTCAATATAATAGGTTTGATGCTCATTAAAAGTTCATTATTACTCATTCTCCAGAAGTCGTGATTTTCATCTCAATAGTGGAGGTTGATGCTCATTTAAAATGTCATTATGTTCAACTAACAAACCTTACGATTTTCATATAATGTGCACTTTGTAAGTTATGTATGCTCATTTTGTACTAATGTTATGCTCGTCTTTAAAATGTCATATCAATGCATGTTCCAAAAGTATCATATTACATTAGACTCGCTGTGAAACAAATTTTAAGTATTTACTTAAAATTGATCGCAAATAATAATATGTGAGAATATTGGGTACAATCTCTAAATATGAATCCTCTGATTCTTCACTTGCAATTTGAAATAAATATAATTAAAGAAATTAATTCAAAATTAAATCTTTAATTCTTCAAATATTCGAACGTTCGTCAAATCTTCAAATCTTCGAACCTTCATTCTTCGAATCTTCAAACCTTCAAAGTTTTGTTCCTTGAATCTTCGAATCTTCGTTCTTTGAATCTTCAAATATTCTTGAATTAAGAATTCAGTTTGAAGGGCCTCCGGTTTTCAAGTGGCTTGTTCTTCAACAAAAGGGCCATTTTGTGGCTTGATCTTCTGTTTAAGGGCCTCCCGAGATATGTGGCTTGATCTTCAATTGAATCTTGATTCAATCTTAATATGAATATCTTCAAATCTTCAAAGTTTCGTTCTTCATATCTTCAAATCTTCAAAGTCTTGTTCTTCAGATCTTCGAATCTTCAAGCTTCGTTCTTCAGATCTTCGAACGTTCTTCAACTTTTGGATTTATTTTATTAAGAATCGACGAAATCACGAAGGATTATTCGTATATTCTTAATAAAATTTATGGCTTGATCTATTCCTCTTCTTCGGAATCGTTCAGAGCCTTTCGGGAATTCTTGAGAGCTTTTCTGCAACGCTTCTTCATCTGAAAAATCCTCTCCTCTTCCTCTCAATTGAGACACCTATTTATAGGTATGGAGGGGATGAAAATATGCTCTAGGGTTTTGGAAAATCGTCCATATCCCTTGGGCCTCAAATAAAATGGGTTTTGGGCTCTATTTGCTTGCATTTAATAGCCAGAAAAATCAGCACTTGTTTGATGTATTTGGACAGCCTTTTTAACAGTTCACAGCCATTTTTTTCATGCATATGGATGGATTCCTTAACCATATTCATTGCTCCCTTTATCAATTGGATCATGACTCTTATTCATTGGGCTACTATTTAATAATGGGCTCAAAATAAAGAAATTAATAGGACCGGTCCATTCTTTTAAAGATTTAATTTATAATTAAATTAATTAGATATTTTAATGATCCAGATTAATTCAATTATTAAATTTTATCCGAATGGGTCCGTATTAATATTTTATAAGACCCAACAACCACCACAAGCAACCCAGTAGAGTTGACGTTGGCTCAATACAATTTTAAAAGAGGCCCAAAATGATTGAGAATAATCTCATAGATTTTAAAGAAGTCTAATAATCATCATAAGTGGCCCAATAATTTTTATATGTCCACAAATGCCCCATCTAGACTGACTTGGACGTTTTGAAGGGAAAAATGTAAGTCTAGAAATAAGGGGAACCATACCACTCGTGTTTTTTAGAATGCACTTTCTTCACCAAGTCGGTCTAACGCTCATGAAAAAAAATCATCCCAAATAAAAGGTTTCTAAGGTGAGCCATGCTCCATACAATTAAAAACACGTGGCATGCACTTCATAGCCATTCAATATTCTTCAAATAAATAAAGATTTGAGGAAAAATCATCCGTAGATAATACGAGTAGTTCAAAACTTGGGCAACCTTTTCCAATTCAAAGCCGTTCTCTAATTTGAATATCCAACCCAAACAACTTACGGTTTGTCAAATTAGAGTCCCACTTGTAACCCAAAAAAAAAATTAGAGTCCCACTTGAACTCTTGTCACCCCCTTAAATACAAATATACTCCCAGTGGAACTTTTCCTGCTAACATGGGATCTGGCCACAACAATTATAAATAGGGGACCATATCAGCTTATTTCTGCAAGACGATTCATCTGGGCATTGACAGAATATATTCTATTCCAAGATTCGGCAGTTCTATAGAGCAAGGGATCACATAAGGTAAATTCCGCTGCTATTTACTCTGTATATTCTTCCTCTTTATGGTGTTCCGCACGGAAATTTCTTTAAAACAGTCATCAGCCATACCAAAATTACCTTAGTTGGTGTTGACGATCCATATCCGCTCCAAATTGGCATGAGAAGAGTTGGGAGATTGCAATTGAACTTCTGCCGAGGAGGGAGACGGTGTTTGCTGCTTTGTTGCAGATTTCTGGCGAGAAGAAGGAGCTTCATTGGCGCTGATATTCTTGTGTTCGTGAAGGAGCACGGTTCATCCGGAGCTGCAGTGGTGTGGTTGCGTCGAGCTCACGGTTGAATTTCGGCGGGGGCCTATGTAGTCGGCAGCTGAGGTCGAGGTTGCTTTGTTGCCGGTCAGAGTTTCGTTGATGCGGCGGAAAGAGGCTTCAAAGAAGCAAAGCTGCTGCTGATTTCTTTTTATTACTCTCGCTTTCGTCAAAGAGGGAGCAACAGACTCATGGCATTGCTCTGGTTCGTCGAAGAAGAAGCCGGAGGAATGGAGGTCTCATGTTCTGCGTGGGAAGAAGTTGACGAGAAGATTGGGCCAGCTTCTTTAATTTTAATAAATTAGGCCTTTTGGGCTTATTTTATGTTTTGAGCCTTCTCATGAATCCGTGCAATTCCAAGATCGAAACGAGGCCCTTGTTTTTCGCTATTTCAAGTGATTTAATCATTGCGCCACTTATTGAAGAGGAAGGAGATTGACTGATTATCAATCATCGGTGCTTGGGGGCCCTTCGTTGGGTTAGTGGCACCGATCTAAAGAATTGGTCTGATTGCTGATCATTGGTGTCGCTTGGGGCCCTTCGTTAGGTTAGTGGCACCGATCTAAAGAATTGGTCCGATTGCCGGTCATCGGTGTCGCTTGGGGCCCTTCGTTGGGTTAGTGGCACCGATCTAAAGAATTAGGCCGATTGCCGGTTATTGGTGTCACTTGGGGCCCTTCGTTGGGCTAGTGGCACCAATCTAGAGAATTCGGCTAATTGCACTTGTTGAAGACCGAGATGTTGCCGCTACTTTCGACCTTTGTCCATTCTGAAGGAGCTTGACTAATTATTGGCCAGTGTTACTGATTTCTTTGTTCGTCTAGTCGGAAGATGAAGTCAATTGCTCGGGCTTGAGATTGATTATCATTGCTGAGCGGCCTTTTTTTTCTTTATTATTATTATTATTTATTTTTTTAGTAATAATAATAAGAATAATGATGGTTTTTTTTGCAGGTTAAAATGATCTTTTAAGGACATAAGGTGTGGAGGCAAGAAGTATCTCTCCATATCAACGAGCAAGAAGAATGACGAAGAGATTCTTTTGGAGATGCACAAGCCATTTGCTCGCGAGTTTTGGGGTCCAACGGTTGTGTCCTATCGAGTTACAAACTGGACTCCTGAGTGCGAGTATCAAACTCAGACAATGCGGACTTTAGTATCTGGCTTTACTCACATGTCCTCTTCTGAGATTCTTCCTTCTTTGGGTAGACGCATCCTTGATGAAAACGCCCCTTTGACAAAGACCTTATCATTTGGTGGTGAGTTTAGATTCATCACAGGTTATTGAGACTGGGCCGAAGATATTTTGAGCATGAGTAAAAGCGTTCTGGAGGAAGGACTTATTTATGATGTTGTTTATGCCTCATTATTCACGTATGACCGATGTACTAATGCTATTCAAGCATTTTGTGAGGCATGGTGTCCCACGACGAATACTTTCCTTACGTCAATTGGCGAATTGACGATCACACTTTGGGACTTGCACATTATCGGAGGATTGCCTATCATAGGAAACGCATATGATGAATCTATTCCGGGCACTTCTGAGTTGTTAAATACGAGCGCTGACCGTTCATTTCATCTCTGCAAATATTTGTTTCACGCATATCATCATCTCTTTCCCAAAGCCGGAGATAAGCGTGTTTTGCATGTTCATGCGTGGGTCAAATTATGGTTCAGAAAGGCCTCCAAGTATACTATGCCTCCAGTGAGAACAGAAAAGAAACGAACATCTCGTGCCAAGGCGACCCATAATCCGAGCGGAGCTATTCCAAAATTTGGAGGATGGTCGAATTCTATGAAGGTACCATTCCACGTACTCAAGGGTCCTGCTGAATATGAGGAAGAGGTATATTTAGCGGCATTTTTATCGTGTTGGCTTTGTGCATTTGTATTGCCGCATGAAGGTCCTAGAGTTATCCGCCCGGAAACATTCAGAGTTGCTTGTATGTTGGCTCGAGGGAAACGTGTATGCCTTGCGGTCCCGGTTCTTGCAAGTGTCTATCATGGGCTTAATCGGATCTCGAATGCTCCAGCTCCTGATCAAGTTAGAACGTGTTTTACCGTTCACTATGTCTATGGATGGTTGGCATCATACTTTGATACGCATTTTAAGAATGAGATCCATTCCACGACGCCATTAATGATTTCTTATTCGGGAGAAAGTGGAGCGAGATCCCTCGAGAAGAGAAGTGCGCGCGAACGAATTTTCCAGGGAGATGTATCAGCATGGGTGTGTTCTACACATCGGAGAATCAAAGAATATTCTTTCTTCGATGGTAAAAATCCTCCAGAGGCTGAGTTGGCGCTTTTTAGGAGTCTTCGGTCTAATTATCTTGTATTACGCTACCGGGATCATTGCATTGATGAGCCTTATACTCCTCACCGCTTTAGTCGCCAATTTAGGTATTTTCAGGCTTATGCTTCTGGCTTTCTTGAGATGCGTAATCGGAGTGTCACACTTGCTGCTGGCTTTCAACTTTGGCTACAGTTTGAGCATGGCATGTCACAAGCTGAAGCAGTATTTCCGACTCCTCCTACTATTCCAGCGAAATTTTATTCATTGCAGTATAAAGAATGGTGGGGTCAAGTTCATGGAAGTTATTTGGAGAATCATGTGAGCGACTTGATCAAGATTTGCGATCTTGCGGTTGGTGATGTGATCACCCCTTCAGATCCTGTGACTCCAATCTCCAAGAAGAAAAAAATGCCTGACACTGAAGCTAAGTCTTTGCCTCAGAAAAAGGGTAAGCTTGTAGCACCTAGGGCTGAAGTTTTGATTAAGGATGCTGAGAAGGAAATGTCTCCTGCCAATGAAAGGCAGAGTAGTGATGAGAGGAACTGGGAGCATTTTAGGAAACCTCATGTTGGGTCACTGTAGGTTAGTTTCATCATTTCATAGTTTTATTTAAAGCGCGTACTTATATTTTTTCTTCTTTTGCAGATTCATGAAGTCCTTGATGATGTTAGTTCCTCGAATCATGTTTCTTCATCTAGCTCAAGTGAAGGAGAAAGCGCAGATCATGACACCGTCGCTGGATTGATAGCAGAAACCGGCCCAAGTCATTGCAAAGAAGTTCTGATCCATGAAATACCCAAGTCTTCTCATGCGAAACCGGCTGCATCTGTATTCCATGCAGAAGACTACTTCTTGACTTTGTATAAGCAGTTCATCATTAATACTTGTAGTGGCATTCAACAAAAGTTAGGACGGACTATAGCAGAGAACGTCTCATCTCTTCGGGAGAGTGTTGAGAATTGTGTTATCTTGATGGAGAAGGAGGGCATTGACCTTTCCATGTTGAAAACGAGAGTGAAGCATTTCTTTGAAAGGGCACAAGCATATGATCAGACGTGTTCGACTGTTGCTGATAGGGTTCCTTCTGAGAAACAATCTCAGGAATTGGCTATGTCGCAGGCTTTTTATGAAGATATTGAAGCTAAGAGATCTCAAAACCAAGTGGCATTACTTGATGATGAGAAATATCTTAATGATATCAAGAAGAAGATAGCCTTATTGGAAGCTGAAGCTAAGGAAGTAGAAGTTTCGATCTCCAAGCGTCGTGTAGAGGCTAGTGACTTAGACACAACTCTTACGAAGGCTAAGGAGGAATCTTCACGGATTTTGAAGACTATCAAAGCATCAGATGAAGATCAATTTACTTTAAGTACTCAGAAGAAGGAGCTAGAGGCCTTGAAGGATGACTTAGTTAGCTTTAAATTGTTTTTAGGCTGATACTTAGCTCTTAGATTAGCTTTTAGTTAGCAAACAAATCTTTTCCTTACTTCTTACCAAACTATATATGGATATTTGCTTCCTTTGTTGCTTCTCATGAGTTGATATTGCATTGCTTCTTCTTCTGTTTTCTCTTTCTTTCTTTCTTTTTTTTTTCAAAGTGAATGAGATCAAACTTTATTGAGGGTTTATGTTGTTATAACTGAACTCAAAAATGAAACTTTTAAGCTGCCTACGTACTCCTACGAAGGAGATCAAGTCAAACGTAGTTCATAAGTACCATTTGAATTGGTAATCTAAAGGAGGGGACCGTACACAGTTTTAACTCATGCGGGTCAGGAGCTTGCCGTACACATTTTTAACTCTCGTGGGCCAAGAGCTTGACGTACACATTTTATACTCTCGTGGGCCAAGAGTATCTATGATTATGCTCACCCATAGACAAGGTGAGATGTTTTAGCAGTTTAGCCACTTACAACATCATTGGTGGGTTTAAGCCATTCAACATTTCTTATGGCCATATCTATACCCCAAATATCAAGGGTAGTAGAGCTTTAAAAATCTTCCATTGATCGGGCCAATCTTTGAGCCATCTCCATCGACCAACTTGTAGGCACCGCCTGAATATACTTCTTGAATAACATAAGGACCATCTCATTTAGGTGAGAATTTGTGCCCCGTTTTTCGTGTGATAATGATAGGTCTTCTCACAGCTAGAACTTTATCGCCAACTTGGAATGAGTGAATTCTAACCCTTTTGTTGAATGATTTCGATAGACGAGCCTGATAGCATTCTAGGTTCTGCTGAGCTTCTAACCTCTTTTCATCAAGTGCCTCGAGTTCTGTCAACTGCAACTTGACGTTTTCTTCATCAGTGAGTCCTTCTTGAATAGCCAATCTCAGAGATGGTATTTGGCGCTCAAGGGGAAGGACTGCTTCGGTACCATACACCAAAGAATATGGAGTGCTTTGAGTAGGTGTTCGATAAGTCGTTCAATATGCCCATAATGCTTCTTCCCTTCTTTCATGCCAATCCCTCTTTGATTTTGACACTACTTTCTTCAACAGGTTGCATAGAGTCTTGTTAAAAGCTTCAGCGAGGCCATTGGCGGCAGCATAGTACATAGAGGACTTCCGTTGCTTGAAATCAAATAACTTGCATATCTTGTCCATCAACTTGTTGTCAAAAGGTTTTCCATTATCCGTCAAGATATATCAGGGAATACCAAAGCGGTAGATGATATGAACTCGGATGAAATCAGCAACATTTTCCTTCTTCACCTCTTTCAATGCAACTGCTTCGGCCCATTTTGAGAAGTAATCAGTAGCGGCTAGTATGTATGAATGCCCTCCTAATGAGCTAGGCGTGATTGGCCCAACCACGTCAAGTACCCAAGCGTCAAATGACCATGATGCTACTGTCGGATGCAAAGGCTCCGGTGCTTGGTGGATGAAATTTGCGTGATATTGGCATGCTTGACATCTTCTAGCATAGTCCATGCAATCTTTTACCATGGTCGGCCAATAATATCCCATCCTTTTGATATGAAAGTGCAGCTTAGGACCGGACTGATGAGCTCCACATACTCCTGAATGTGCTTCTTCCATTGCTTGTAAGACTTCATCTCCACCCAAACACCTAAGAAATACACCATCGAATGATCTTCGATAAAGTGTATCTATAATAAATGAAACACGGTGAGCGCCTCTTTAAGTCTACTTTCTTGCGGGGATTTTCAGGTAATTTCCTATCAGTGAGATAATCAATGAGCAACTGCCTCCAATCTTCATTTTCAATATCATAAACCGAGGTAGTTGGCATCTCGACTATCTCTTCGGCTGCACCATCGTCTCCAATGAATGGAGGAATTACCCATTTTTGACATACCCGTACTTGAGTTCCATCGTCAAGGTGTGCCATGTTCGATGCTAACCCTGCCAGTGCATCGGCTTGTTTGTTTTCCTTTCTTGGCACGTGTTCGATTGTAACTTCACCCAGCCATCCTATGAGTGCCCTTGCATATTTGTTGTAAGGATGCAGTTCAGGTTTCCTTACTTCATAAATTCCAAGCACTTGATTGATGATTAGTTTTGAATCGCCATAGATATTAACTCGTGTTTGCTTCATGTCTACAGTTATTTCAAGTCCGAGAATGAGTGCTTGATATTCAGCGACGTTGTTGGAGCATTGTTCCGTAAGCGTGAAAGCATATGACAGAACTTGACCTTCGGGTGTAACAAAGACCACACCAGCTCCAACACCTTCTCTGTGTGCAGCTCCATCAAAATACATCTTCCATGGAGGCAAAACTTCAATTATGAGCACATCTTCATCAGGTAGATCATCAGAAAGTTCCCAATCAGCAGGGATAGGGTGATCGGCTAGGAAATCTGCCAAAGCTTGTCCTTTTACAGATTTTTGTGAGACATAAACAATCTCAAACTGTTGAAATATCAAGTACCACCTAGCAAGACGATCAGATAGAACCACTTTGGACATCACATACTTCAGCGGATTTGCTCTGGAGATAAGATTTATCGTGTGAGCTTCAAAGTAGTGTTTAAGCTTCTTGATTGCAAATATAAGGGCCAAACACTGCCAGCGCATCCCTTGTATTTCGGTTTTAGTGAGGGTTGAGAGCTCCTCTCTCCCAAATAGACCTCAACGGTCATATTTGGCTCCCTCTCCGAAGCTAGCATATCCTCCATATGACTTCTTCCATCTCTTGGTCGAGTAATATCTGGGATATCCTTGCTTCTTCCCCGCAAAAACACCTCAAAAAGCTGCGCATAAACACTATTCACTCAAGAAGGTCAACGCACGTATCTCCACTTCTCCTTGGCCGATTTTTGTTTTGAGCATAGATTGAGGTCCGCCTTGGTGAGAGGATCAACCATATACATTTTATTTCATCATCGGCCTCGGCCGTACAACACCCTACTGTTCACTTCCGACTCCATAGCTACGAGTTCTTAGCTCAAAATACACAAAAAAGGTACAAAGGTTTCCGTTTTAGAAGGGGTTGCTATTTTTAGCTTCCCCTTCCATGCTTTGAAGTTGTTTCCTTTTGGTTCATCAAGCAATCATGCCTAAGTCTACGGCTAAGAAGAAGGAGCCCCTGGCTCCAACGAAGTCCTCTTCAAGACTCAAAGAAATAGCAAGAAACAAGCAAGTGGAAGATGCCCTCTCGGCCATGGACCAAGTTAGCGATTCCGAGCTGGATTTGGGACTCAATGCGAGTGATTCCGAGGGAGCTTCCAAGCCAATTCAACCTGAATTTGCTGCCCAACCTCCTGCTCCAAAGGTTTCCTCTTTACCTCCTTTAAAACAAACTAATGACACACACGAAGTTGATATGGAAATTGTGCTAAAAGATCAAGCTCTTGGTCAATTGGAGAAACCTATTGATGGTGAAACTACGGAAATTGTGTTGATTGAAAATGAGACTCCAACTGAACCTTGTATCCAAGGTGAGGGGGATGTAAATGACTTATATGTGGCTGCCCTTGGCAAAAATTTGAAGGGAGCCGAGACTCCATTGCCCAAACCTTATGCATCCCTTTTCAAGGATAATAGGGAGCCTACCAAAGGAATGAAACTAAGGTTTATTGAGCCCGTGGGTGACTATGTGGACTTGCTTGATAGGACCATGCCATCAATGGTGGAGATATGGGGGCATTGCCTTGTGGGGTATTTTGCGGGAAGATACCCCGGGTTTAAACCAATTCAAGAGCTAGTTTCGAAATGGGGAGTTCCATGTAAGGTAAGAACCCATGATAGGGGGTGGGTGATCTTCAAATTTCAAGGAGAGGAGGATAGGTCTAAAGTCCTAATGGAAGGACCATATACCCTATTTGGTAAGTCACTCTACCTTAAAACACTCTTGGAAAACTTCTCTTTTGAAAGTGAGGAATTTTTGAAGGTTCCAATTTGGGTGAAATTTCCAAACCTCCCTATGCAAATATGGAACGAAGATGTCATAAGTGAGATTTCATCAAGAGTGGGAATGCCGTTGACTACGGATAGAGTTACCCAAGAAAGAGCCATCTCAAAATATGCTAGAGTCCTTATTGAGGTGGATGCATCCAAACCACCACCTCTTACTTTGAAGGTGAGATTGCCGAATGGGAGGTTCCATTTTCAAAAGGTTATATATGAAACATTCCCAAATTATTGTTTCCATTGTAAGATGTATGGACATCACGCTTTCACGTGCAAAACAATTGCGGAAATGGAAAGGAAGGAAAGAGAACTAAACAAGAAACAAGAGGGTAGTAAGGGAGACCAAAGCAAGGGAGACAAGGGTAAGGGAAAGGTATCCGATGTGGATGCCGCGGCACTAGAGGGGGGCATGACAAGTGTGGCAAAACCAACTGCTGGGCCTAGCACACATAATGCCGCGGCTTCAACAGCTGGGGCTAGCACTCAATATGCCGCGGCATTGGACACCTATGTCCCAAAGGAGGAACACCCGTTTCTCAAGGCTGCCCGTTTGAAGAAAAAGAAGAGAAAGCCAAAGAAGAGGAAACAACCTAGAGAGGATGGGGAGATATCATCGGGCTATGAAACTATCCAAGAACTTGATGAGGAGGATAATCAACCAAGAAGAATTAGAAGCTTCAAAGACTTCTTTGATGATGAAGTCATCATTGAGATGGAAGTGGATGAATTTGGGGAGCCTACTATCAAAGTTGCTCATATCAAAGATGTCACCGAGCCTACAATCAGACTGAACCACCTACTACAAGTGGAGGATGCAGCAAAGCCGGGGGTATACTTCACCAAAAAGTGCTTGGAAGGACTACCGGGAGTGAGGAGAAAGAATAAGGAATATGTTTATACATCACTCTTCATGAGGTGTGTGTATAGGCATTATCTCTTTAGGTATTTTGAGGATGGCCACCTAATGGGAAATGGAAGCAAAGTGAAAGATTTGAGAAAATACACAAGGAAAACAGTCCGGGTAGTAAATGACAT